ATCCCCCACAAATAAAAATCCAGAGGGGTAAGGTCTGGGGACCTAGGTGGCCAAGCGACTGGCCCTAAATGACCATAATCCAGCGCTCGGGATAATTTACGTTTAACCATTGTCTAACAATCAATCTATAATGGGAAGGTGCTTCATCAAGTTGGATCCAGTGATTAAATCTTGTTTCTAAGGGCACATCCTCAAGTAAATTGGCCAAATCGGTTTCCAGGAACTGATAAAAATGGACTGCATTTGATCTTTCTGGGAAAATATGCGGCCCACAAAGTTGATAATTTATTGTCCAGGGTGGAATGACTAAATGAATTTAATTTTTTTCGCAAGAAGTAAGCAAGATAGACAAAAAAGTCAGGAGGCAAAAAATTATATTTTTTATTACTAAATCCAAAAATAATATTAAACTTCTAAAAAAGCAGTGGCGTGCCTATTTTTTTCCTTTAAAATAATTTAACAGTGATGCCCCACCGCCGCTCCTGGCCATTAAACTTAAATCTAATTACATCAAATTAAGTCCCATAGTAAGTATTATAAACGGGTCAAGTTATATCAAAATCGATTTAATAGTTTTTCAAATATCTTATTTTTTTTTCTTTTTTAAGTAACTTTAACACCCTGTATCTCGAAAAAGAAGCTTTAAATCTTACAAGTTGATATGAACTTTTTGTTTTATTTTTGCAACTTCTATCGTCTATTAAATTTTCCCGATTAAAATCTGAGACACCCTGGCTAAGTAAGTGGCTCGCCCCTATAACTTTTTTTTCAGATAAAAAACGAGATTTGGTATGTTTGTATATGACATATTCAATTGTTTTTGGTCACTTCCTGTTTCATCGGAAATTACTACAACTTTTGATTTTCAAATGGCACCCTTGGTATATTTTCACTTTATTCCAAAAAAATGACACTTTGAATAGAATGACATATTATATGTCAACTTTTGACATTTTGGCTTAAAAAATCGTATTTTAAATTTCAATCTAGAGTGCCATGGCAAAACACTAATTTTTAATCAAGGAGCCTTGAAAAAATAGATTTGATAGTCTAATGTTTTTTACATCTTGCCCTGGCCAGTTAAAAGATACCCAAATCGTATTTTTAATCATAATATCTCAATATTTTCAAATGGAACAAGGGTGGTCTATTAGCATATTTGGCAAAAGCATTTTTTTACGATATACAATTGGTATACAATAGTATACCAAACTTTCCTCTTGTTCTTTCTTTGCGTTAAAACACTTCTCCAGCTCTTTGCAAAGTTCCCGATATCGTTGATGTAGCTTCTGCTGCTTCCTCTAGTCTGTCTAAAACACCGTGCCCTAAAGTTTTAAAGCGTCTGTTTTCCAGTGACAGATACTGGCACAGCAGGTGTTCTGTGGTTTCGTCTTTCTCTCCGCAGTCTCTGCATTAGTCGTTAGAAGTCTTCCATCTCACGAGGTTTATCTCCATGGGGCAGTTCCCAGTGACGACACTACAATTATGCGTACTAGGTTCTTTTTGTGCACTAGTAGTTGTTTTGTCTTTTTAATATCTACCACTGCCCACAGTTTTCCGAGCTGTAGCGCAGTCCTCAGGGTGTTGCTACGTCTCTTGCTGCTTGGTCTTGATGGTAATTCCTATAGTTTCCTGCAGTGTGTCGATGGTGATAAGTGGTGGGTCATCTGGTCCTCTCTTTGGCGAGTCTGTAGGCTGCTTTCTGGTTGCCCACTACATTGCTGTGAGCTGGCACCCTACACAGATCCTTGACTCACCCACGATTCTGCCAGTGCTTCTCGGGAGTCTATCAAATGTTCGATCTCACTGATTGCATGGTGATTAAAACGCCCAAGCTGTCAGAATATATCATAATATCTCCTATTGGTCTATCAGTTTTATATATTTTGTTAGTTCCACCATGGCTTTTTTGATCGCCTCTGTTCTTACATTATTGAAAGCACTCTTTATATCTAAAAGAGCCACTAATGTGTATTTCTTATCCCTGAGCAATTTTTCAATTGTACCCACGACCTAATGCAGAGCACTTTCGACTGATTTACATTTAAGGTATGCGTGTTGCGCTACACATTGCTTCTCAATATGTGTAGTCTACACAATAACAAACTACACATTGTAGTCTTCTTAATGTATAAGATCTATCAGCCTCTCCAGTGTTTTCAATAAAAACGATGAAATTTTAAAACATTTTCCGTTGCACGTCATCAATCACATCGAAATTGACACTAAAGCCTGTAAACCTGAGTTAATGAAATCTTAGCAAAAATGTTTAAATTTTTTGACTAATTTAAAATACCAAGCAAATTAATATATAGAGCAATTAATTATAGAGCAAATGATTGTAACAGATATTTTATTTAGATTAAAGCTGCAAAAATTAGTTTAAACCGATTTTTATTATCGCCTTGTTGGTCACATTGCGCCATGTTCAGCAATGTTGTCGTGTATTATTTGACAATAATTATCCTAGTGTCGGTCATTATTTTGTATAATATCGTGTTGTTGAATTTTTGGGAGTAATTCTCGTTTTTTGCCGTTTTTCGTAGTTTTTTTTTTCTTAAATTGTTAAAGGTTCTTCTAAGCACAAACAGGTCTTTTAAGAACTAAGTTTTCGAGATTTTTTACTGCATTTTTTGAAATTGTGGATTGAAAATATGCCGAAGTCTTTAAACAGTCTAAGCAAAGCGCTTGTAGCTTCCCTGATAAAATATTTTGAGCGCGAACGTGACAATAAAGGTCCTTTATTACCCTTGAATGCAGTCAGAGAAGTAAGATTGATTGGTAAGCACATTATACCACTTTCAAGTTATTTCTACTTATTTCAATTTGTAGCGAGTAGCTGCTGCGTTAAATTTAAATATTTCTACTGTGAGTGCAGTTTCACAAGCTGTTAAAAGTAATGAGCCAATAGAGTCACCTAAAAATAAACGTTCTCTTGCAAAGAGGGTAGCAAACACGCAATTGAGAAGAATTGTAAACTCAGTTGACAACAACAATCAAAAAGTAAGGAGCCACCAAAATATTAATTATTAACTTAAATATTAAACGTAAAAATCTTTAAAAAAATATATACTAAATATATTGTTTGTCACTTTTAAATTAAGATTCGTTTCATAAATCCATCACAATCTGGCAGCGCTGTCGCCATCGCTTGTCACTCAAAGTTGACGACGTGCATCGGAAAATGTTTAAGAATTTCTTATAGGTCTAAAGTCTCTAGTTAAAGAGTGTCTTGGTTACTCCCCTTGGGTATGAGGATCACTTTTACCTTTCCCCACTTCTTTGTTATATGCCCCAAATACAGGCATTCCATATACAAGAAAATTTCACATAGGAAAATCCTGATTAGTAGGGTAGTGATGTTCTTTGGAAACTTCCGCGTTAAAAGGAGGAAGTTTTGTACAAAAAAACTTTCTGAACGGATATATTTATTATTTTTCATTATTACAGTTGAGGGTTGGAACCTTTGGTGTTACACAGCAAAATAAAAACACTACATCACCACAATACACCAAAACACTTACTTTTACACTGGACGCGCGTTTCGCTTATCTATCATCTGCTGATGATGCTAACATGGTTAGCGAAACGCGCGTCCAGTGTAAAAGTAAAAGTGTTTTGGTGTATTGTGGTGATTTAGTGTTTTTATTTTGCTATTTTTCATTAGAAATAAATATTTACAATAAAAAATGTAAGTCGCATCACTATATAATCACAGATTATGCAGATTATAAACTTTGTTTTTTCTTTATTGTTTTTCGTTGTTCCAATTTTCGGAATCGGGCACTAGTTAGGTTACTAGTTTGCGCACATAGCACGCCCACTTATGCCCTCTAAAATTGTGCGCAGCGCCTGACCGGCACAGTTATTAGAGAGATATCGGAAAACCGAATAGCATCATGCAGTATTTACGCGTACCTTATCATGGTTACGATATGCGCGAGTCAATTTTTAACGCAACACCCGCTAATAACGTTACCGCCTGACGTAATTTGCGGATCAATTACACCAAGCGCTATTTCTAAATAATGTTTAAAAATTGCTTAAATGGGCATGTGCGGGTATTTGACAACCGGGGCCGGCCGGCGAGATCTTTTATTTTAGGTTATGTTTGAATTGTTTTGAATTATTACTTTAGTTTTATTAGGTAATTTGATATTTAAGTAGCTGGGATTAGTTTTAATTAAATAAATATGGCTCAAAATATGGATTCCACCTCTTCCAATATTAAAGAACCCACTCGTATAAAGAGGCTTAAGTTTACAGCAGATGACGACTAGCCCTTCTAAGAGAATTTGTTGCTTGTTGTCCTAAACCCACTGGCAGACGTTGAACAATAAAGCACTGGAAATAAGCACTTTAGCCCTTTAGTTTTAAAATACCTAGTAAACAAAACAATTTCAAAGTTTTAAATTCAAAGTTAGGTTAAATTTAAATAGCGGACGCGACGCGAACAGAATTCTTTCCGACCCGATAACTATAAATGAAGAGAGTTAATACCACCTCCGCTATTCGGTTTAGCGATATCTCTCTATTACGCTGTTTATTGTTATTTTACGCGAGTTTATTTTTGCACACAGGAAATTTTACTCGTTTGCACATCGTCATAAAAAACAATTTTCGTACCACGAATTAGGGACAAGATTTTTATCTGTATACTTATGGGATACCTAATCTGTGTTATAATGATGTGACTGGACCTATGGATTTAATTTTTTAACCAAAGTCTTAATATATTTTAATATCTTGATAAGTATAAAGTTCTACATTTGATACAAACTCATTCACAACAGTACCTACTATAAACATTGTAAAAGACATTTTTCATATTTTGCATATTGCTTGTCAAGCTTTGCTATCTTACTAGTCTATTAATTTGGACTTAGTTTAGTAAATTAATTATAAGAAAAATGATTGGGTTTGTCCACATGAAATTTTGTATTGTTATTAATAGTAGGGGATATTAATACAATAATTATTTTTCAAAATGTATTTTTTAGATCATTTGTGGCAGAAATCAGTTTTTATGTAAAACAGTTAGGAAGAACAATTCATGGAAGAGATGGCGGTTCAAATAAACAGACTGCCAGCAAGAGTTGCGCTCTTTCAATGGTCAGGCAACTATTTCATTTAGGTGTTATTGAGGCTTTTTCTGGTAATTACTATCCAAAATTGAACGAATTTTATTTTACTTAACATTCAAATTTACAGGGACGTTGAAAAAGGAGAAAAGTGCTGCAGAAATGGAGCCATTTGAAGTAAGAGTGTCGCCAGATCTACAAAGACAAATTCAAGATGTATTGTCTGATTTAAATGTAAAGCCGATAATGATCAAGCCAGAAGCATCAGACCAGCCAGTTTCACTATTAAGTTCACATGTACTAGATGATTTTCATCCAGCTGACCCAACACAAGTAAGATTTTTTGTTGATTTTTTTTTTATAAAAGCCGATAACTATAAGGATAAAAAAAAGTATATACAGGGTGGTCCGAATTGTATTCCGGAAACTGCGGCAACATATTCTGCAGATAAAAATAAGTAAAAAAGTTCGTATAAATGTATGTCCTAAATTGTTTAGTTTCAGAGATACAGGGTGTAGAAGTTTCATTTTTATTTCGATTTTTTCCAAATAACTTCTGAAGTAACGTTAATATTTCGATGAATATTTGTGTAAACTTTGGCAGCATATTCTGCAGATAAAAATAAGTAAAAAAGTTCGTATAAATGTATGTCCTAAATTGTTTAGTTTCGAGATACAGGGTGTAGAAGTTTCATTTTTATTTCGATTTTTTCCAAATAACTTCTGAAGTAACGTGAATGTTTCGATGAATATTTGTGTCTAGGAGTTTTTTGACATGAGAAATTTGATTTTGATGTCAATATGACTCCTACTGCTAAAGGGCGCCACCTACATGTGTTTTAACTGTTTTGAAGCGTAATAACTTTTTGTCCGTACCTGTATAAAAATACCGAGGGAAAAAATATACATCTATGTGACTTTTTACGTAAAAAATATTTCTTTGTAAAAATCGCTACGAGCAATCGTTCTCAAGATATTTAGAATGGAAGTGGAGAATACATGTCATTATACAGGGTTGTTTACCACATACGACACGGAGGATTGTAGCTAAACGATTAGATTTTTACAAATTGTAAGTTTTGGGTTCGATGAAGGACTATTAGAGGTACAATTTAAAAATAATTTTACAAGATACAGAGTGTCCCAAATAAGTAAAAAATATCAAAGTTGTATTTTTTAAATGGAACACCCTGTATATTATTACATTTTTAGTTTCTACGATTAAAATAAAGGTAAATTTGATTAAGATTTATTATACTTAAACCTTACCGTTTTTGAAATATTTTCAATTTTGTGAAATTGCAGTAAAAATTTTAAGGCTTCATTACTCCAAGGGTATCGAAAGTTTTTAATACTAAATATTTACTGAAGTTTATTTACTGATCAGTTATTGTGTTGCAATAATAAAAATAATACTACCTTATACAGAGTATCTAAAAATTTATTTTAAATAATTATTAGCTTCAAACGGCAATAACTAACTGATTTAAATGGAACACCCTGTATATTTTACGAGAATCCGATGCACAATTTAATTGTCTATCAAATTATATTATACCATTTTTTACCTATCTCTTTAAGTTTCCGTAGAAAATGCATTTTCTTGTAATTTAGAACTTATTTATCAATATACCCATGGACTATTGACATTTTAGATTATTTTTAAAGATGTACCAAATTTTTAAAGAGTACAGATACTAATATTGTCGATATAATTCGTTTATTTCATTTAAAAAAAAACTGTTTGATAGACAATTTAATTGTGCATCTGATTCTCCTAAAATATACAGGGCATTCCATTTAAATTAAAGAAGTTATTGCCGTTTGAAGCTAATAATTATTTAAAATAAATTTTTAGACACTCTGTATAAGTATTATTTTTATTATTGCAACACAATAACTGATCAATAAATAAACTTCATTAAATATTTAGTATTAAAAACATTGATACCCTTGGAGAAATGAAGCTTTAAAATTTTTACTGCAATTTCATAAAATTGAAAATATTTCAAAAACGGTAAGGTTTAAGTATAATAAACCTTAATCAAATTTACCTTTATTTTAATCGTAGAAACTAAAAATGTAATAATATACAGGGTGTTCCATTTAAAAAAATACAACTTTGATATTTTTTATTTATTTGGGACACTCTGTATCTTGTAAAAATATTTTTAAATTGAAATTTAACTCTAATAATCCTTCAGCGAACCCCAAACTTACAATTTGTAAAAATCTCATCGTTTAGCTACAATACTCCGTGTCGTATGTGGTGAACAACCCTGTATTGACGAAAAATAAACACGTTGAGTAGATAGTAATTGCACTGAAATAATAAATTTGGTAAATTTTTATTTTTTTAATTTAATCATAAATTTTGCTGCAAAAAAAATGATGATAAAACAGTTTCTATTGAACTTTTGGTACAACAACTTTCAAATTTATGACTTCAGTCTAATAATTATTTAGTCAACATGTTTAATTTATTATACACGTGTGGCAAAATTTCATTAGCAATAGGAGCTTTTCAATGCGATAAAAAAAGATGGTAAGGCTGCAAAATACACTGCAGTACAACAGAGACGGATAAAGTGTCTTTTCCCTACCATTGTATAGGGAAAGTGATCATAGAAGTGATACGACGAGAGAGCTTCTGCGTGAGGGGGCGGGTCTTTAAGACGCTTGTGTGGGGGCTACCGGCTACTAATAGAATAGAATCGAAAAAATATAAAGACGAAGGACAGTGTTGCCATTCTGTTAAATCAAAATTATGTTGGCTTATCCTAAATCCAGAATCTTCTAATCCCATTATCTTGCCTACTTAATGAAATATTAAATAAAGTACAAAACAATTTTAAGAATGTTTTTTCTAGGCACATAACAACTTCTTTCTAAAACAAAAAGTAACATGCAGAACTTTGAAATCATTTCTAAAATAGCAAGTGCAATTCTATGAAATGGCAATACTGTACGATCTTCCTTCCAGTTGCCCCGCACCGATAGGTCGGTCGCCGGCGGCGACAAAGGAATTAGGCCGAAAAAACTTTATAAAGGTGTAGCCGAACAGGGTTACCGGGTTTGTTAGATTATAATTCCATACGAGAACAAAATTCTCGGTAGATCTTCAACAAAAATCAAAAGTACATAAACAAAATAAAATATAATATTTAAGTCCAAAATTAGTATTCGTATGTGTCATAATACTAGATCACTCAAATAAAATACAAATATAGTAAATATAACAAGAATTAGAAATAGGTAGCTATATTATATTCAGTGCGAGCTTCTGAATCATACGTTCTACTCGCCTGGGGTAGTTTTGTTTTAAAGTTCGACATTTCGTGGTTTAGAGGTTTGGCAATTTCAAGGCCACGCTCTTGATTAGAAAATTTTGAGGTTTGGATATGAGAATGGGATGGGACAGTGATTTCCCCAGTATGGTCTTGGGAGATAATCTAAGGCTCGCGTGGGCAGGGGCACGTCCCTGCGTGACATTAGGGAAGTGGCAGGTAAACGGTGGTTAAATATAGCACAAAACAGGGAGACATGGAAAAGGATAGGAGAGACCTATATCCAGGAGTGGATGAATCCGGGTTGAGGAAAAGGTATATTATTTAAAAAAAATATATTGAATTAAACAATATTAATATATTAATAAAAACTATAACAAGTAGGGATAGCAGTCACTTTTTACCTTTGTACAAATTTTGATCAGTGATATCTAAAATTAATTTCATTTCAATGGGAAAGCTGTAGCAACTCTCAACTCTTTTTTCATATTAATATATTTTTTTGGCAGGAAAAGCACTAAAATATTTATCCGTATTCAGTTTGTTTCTTAACTTAGATTTTGTTTTTTGTTTGTATTTTTTTGGGGAAAATATGGGTTTAACTTTAGTAGATGAATGAAACAAAATCTTTTCAAAAGATATCAACTTCTTCGGGCATATCGCCAATACCGCGTCTAATAAAGAGTAATAAGGATTTGTAGGAATATCTTTGTCACTCTGCAACTAGACAGAACGATGACATGATTACTAAATAAAATTTAACAAACAATAATAAAGTCAGATTAGACTAAAAACGCAGTTGAACATATCGTTAGATTTTTGTTTAAATCGGTAGATCGGTAGCTTACAGACGAAACCGGTAGACCTGGCCACTCTGTGATGGACTGTGATGATGGCGTTTTGCGGAGGCGCGGGAAGGGAAATAAATAATGATGGCGATAATAAATAAATAATGGCGATAAAGGGCAGGTGGATGGGTATCATGGGTGGATAGGAGGCAGCGGAATTTCCAAAATTTGTTATCTTATTGGAGTTTGTCTAACTCGACAGTCGTAGTGGAAGTGGAAACGGGGAAGTTGTTGTCCATCTCTGTTTAAGCTTAGACTTTTTATAGGCGTTTCATTCCAATGCATGTAATTCCTATGCCTAGATATCGTATTACCGGACCTGTATATAATATATATAGGTATTGATAATTTCGATTCCAGATATCTCAAAAACCGATATACATAGCGATTTTTACCAAGAAACATTTTTTACTTAAAAAACGTCGTAAATGTATATTTTTTTACTCAGGAGTTTTATACAGGTAAGGACAAAAAGTTATTACTCTTCAAACCAGTTAAAAAATATGTAGGTGGCGCCCTCTACTAGTAGGAGTCATATTGACATCAAAATCAATTTTCTCATGTCAAAAAACTCCCAGAGACCAATTTTCATCCAAATATTGAGGTTACGGCAGAAATTATTTGGAAAAAATCGAAATAAAAATGAAACTTCTACACCCTGTATCTCCGAAACTAAGCATTTTAGGACATACATTTATACGAACTTTCTCACTTATTTTTATCTGCAGAATATGCTGCCGAAGTTTCCGGAATACAGTTCGGACTACCCTATATATTTCATATCCATTAAACCACAGACTAACCTAAACAGATGCGACAAACAATGCAAATGTGAAAATTACATTTTGGCGAATGCGCCAGGCAAATTTTTCCGTTAGATTTGTCATATAGGCGAATTTTACAGCGGACCAGCAAAGTAACCTCCATTCGTTTACTAAGAAGCCACGCCTCCTTCGTGTAGAAAATAGAGAGGGAATTTTTTGGTTCGGAATCAAATAGAGATCATTTTAATTTCATTAGTTTTTTTTCAATTTTTGATACATTCACAATCTATACCTACTAATATATAAAATTCTTAAGCGACTGACTCACTGATTAATCACGATCCTGCTCAAACCACTCAACGTAAGAAGCTCAATTTTGGCATACAGGTTGATTCTAGGGTGTAGAGGTTCGAAAAGAAGAAATTTTTCGAAATTCCAGTTCCAAGGGGGTGAAACCATCCCTCAAATATTACAATATTTTTTATTTAAAAACGGTCAAGTTTCAGAAAAACGCTTAAACGCGTATATGTTATTTTGTTTTTTTACATAATTTAAGATTTTTTAAAAATGTATACAGGGTGTTTCGAAAAATCTGGTCATTGATTAATCACGATCCTGCTTAAAGCGCTTGACGTAAAAAGCTGATTTTTGGAAAACGGATTGACTTTAGGGTGTAGAGGTTCGTTAAGAAGGGATTTTTCGAAACTCGAATTCTAAGGGGGTGAAACCACCCCTCAAATATTAGAATATTTTTTATTTAAAAACCGATGAGTTTTTCGGAAAAGCTCTTAAAAACGTATATTTTATTTTGTTGTTTTACATATTTTAAGATTTTTTAAAAATTTATACAGGGTGTTTCATAATATATGACCATTGAGTAATCACGATTCTGCTTTAAACTGCTTGACGTTAAAGCTGATGATTTTTGGCAAACGGATTGACTGTGGGGTGTAGAGATTCCATAAGGAGGGGTTTCTCGATTCCAAGAGGGTGAAAATGCCCCTCAAATATTACAATATTTGTTATTTAAAAAACGGTTAGTCTTTCGGGAAAACGCTTGGACACGCATAATTTATTTTGTTTTTTTACATATTTTGAATTTTTTTAAAAAATCATACTGGGTGTTCCAAAAAGTTGGGTAATTGATTAACTACGATTCTGCTTAACTGCTTGACGTAAAAAAAATTATTTTTGACAAACAGATTTTTCGAAAGTCAAATTCCAACGAGATGAAACTACCCGTCAAATATTACCAAGTTATATAATAATATCGCCATATTGTTTTTTCTCAGGCTCAGGACATAAATGTGAGAACATTTTATCCAGTTTGTATGTTAATGGAAATTTTTGAAAATTCCTCATCTCGGGGATGATATAGGGGTGAAAGTTGGTATGAAAATTTATTACTACCTGGCATAGAAGTATAATATTTTTACAAAGTTTATGTAGTTAATAAGTCGATTATTTGATCGAACTGTATGTCTATTCGCTTTTTTCGTATTAGAAAATCTAGGTATTTTCGGAAAAAAACACCCACAGTTTTTGATATAATTTAGTCCTAGAAAATCTAAAAAATGTATCTTCTTCAGTTTTTAGTGTTTTCTCATCCATTGAATGCACATTTTTTTAAAAGCATTTTAAATAAAATCAAAACAAGAAACTTAAACTGAATAGCTGAATTAACTAAAACAATACTAAGAACACCGTGAACTAACTAAATGTAAACCAACAAAACCCAACAGAAAATTAAAATCGGAAACAACTAATAATAATGATGTATGTAATATCCATGTGAAACAACTGAAGAAACTGACTTAAAAATCCTCTGAAAAGTGAAAACCTTCAATATTCCCATCTTAGATTCCCATATTCTTTTTCTAGGACACTGTTGCCAATTCTACTTACCAATTTGTATAAACTATATCGGTATCACGGCACATGCAAACAATATGCCGTGTCTGTATCATAAAAGTACCTATTTGCTATATAAAAGATCAGCTGCTAAATTTTAAATCAATTTAAAATATCAAATAAAATGATAGTAGTGCATAAAACTATTAACAAGCAGGATATAACAATAATTAAAGATAATTTAAGCTGGCTAATAGTAGATAGACTTTAGTTTAATATTTGAAATTAACAGCTGGAAGTACAGCTAAATACAAACGGCAAGCTGACAACAAAGATCCTATTCTTTAAGAATTTTATATTTCTGATATTTTATATCATTTTTCATTTTAAAGATATCGTCATTTTCTTTATATATATATATATATATATATATATATATATATATATATATATATATATATATATATATATATATATATATATATATATATATAGCAGTTATATATATATATATATAGCAGTATATATATATATATATATATATATATATATATATATATATATATGTATTGATCTTAACCCATTGTTAAAGTTTGTAAATTTCTCATACTTTACAAATAAATATTAGCTGATATTTCTAACATCATGTAATTATAGTTATTTATTATTATCCAGGAGAAAAGCGCTAATACAAGTACATATAATATTTAATTCTCACATAAAAAAAATTCAAGCTGGCAATCTCGCTTTGACTTTATAATCGTACGTCGGCTGCGACGGCCAGACGAGGCGGCGCGGTGTATCAAAGGCAAGGTTAAATGCGAGAAAGAACGAAAGAAATGGAAGCTTAGAGAAGGGGGTGCGCGGGAACGATTTGAAGTCACCACGGCTGTTTGTTTGGCCGAATATTTTGCCTTCATCGACGGTATCGCCGCTCTGTCGTCGCACTTCCGAACATAGGTCTTTTTGAACACAAAATTTTCCATAAGGTGTCGCATCTGTTTAAGTTAGTTTGTGATTAAACCTTTAGTTACGTAATCGAGGGCGTGCTTTTTTAATTCATTGTTGCCAACCATGGACATATTCGGCGCCGTGCCGTGCTGACTAACTGAAAGTTAAATTTCGCGGTGGGGATTCAGGTGGTAGCTCTATGTTTTTGATAGAATTGAGGTTTACTTATAATTTTTAGCAGATAAAGTAAGATTTATAAACTTTGTTTTCTTTCTTGTTTTGTAGGCTGGTGTGGTTCCATGGTCGCCTCCGCAACAAAACTGGAATCCTTGGACAGGCTGTAACATTGATGAAGGTATTTACTGTATACCTAATAGAATATTTAACTCTTTTTTAACTCTTATTTATATTATTTATAGGATTCTTGGCGACGGCAACAATGGAACAAATAAGCGAACATATGCTGGAAGAAGCTAAACTGAAGCAAACCTCAGACACAAAGTTACAGGATGCTATTTCTGGAAGACAGAAATTACCAGTATTCTCGAGTAAAGGAAGATTAATGGAGGCTATTAATGAGCATCCCGTTATCATAATTAGAGGAAATACTGGTTGTGGTAAGTTAAATTATAATTTTTTTATATACAGGGTGAATTTCCTACGATGTTCTCTATGGGTATCTCGGAAACTATTGGAGATAGAGAATCGGTTAAATGGGGAAGGAATGCAGTTTTTTGGGGTCATAAATTTGCGCCTTTCAGATTTTTGAAAAAGTTTATGGCTTACTAGATATTTCGAAAAAAACAAATTTCGGCTATTTTAAAAATTGTCTATAATTCTATTATAATCTATTTTAGACAAAAAGTTTTCAGATGAAAGTTGTAGATGATCACATCCTTAATAACTTTATGTTTTCCGATTTTTTCTAAAGCTTGTCATTTTTGGCATATGACACAAACATATGTTTTTTTTTAAATGGAAACCAAGCTTTTCAACGATAAATAAGCTATAATATGTTTTTTTTTTTCGAAAAATTACGAGTTATAGCCAATTCTTATCTTTCTTGACTAATTTCACTTAGTTGGCATGGTATATTCTGTTGTAATTTATAACTTATAAAAAAACAGAATATTTTATTAAATGGTTCTTTACATTTTACATTACACAAACTAAAACTTAAAAAAAACTAATGTCACTACATACACTTTAAGTTATTTTAGCAAATGTTCAAAAAAACCGTCATTGTTTTGGGTACATAAAATGCGTCTTTTTAAAGCTGAATTACAAGCTTTTCCCACAGAACGGTCGGTCGGCTTTAATAAACTTCTTCCATACCGCTTCTTCGAGTGCCTCTCTTAATTCATAAGTTCTTTTGTAAACCTTGTTGTTAACCATACCGCATAAAAAAATCTAAAATGGATAGGTCAGCTGATCGAGGAGGCCCATGCAATTGGTCTACCTCTTCCAATCCCTGAGTTTGCATAATTTTTATATAAATAATTTTTAACATTTATTTCATTACGAGGGGGAGTGTCGTAATGAAAGTAATGTTGGAACTATTGGTTGGTTTACTATTGATGCGCGAGTATCTAAATTTAACTTTTTTAAAAAACGTAAGTAACGTTCACTGGTCAACGTATCGTCGTAAATGTATGGCCTAGAAAAGTTGAACCAATATTCCTACACACTATTCTTCATTTGAAAAATTCATATTTACAATTTTTGTTTATTTTAATTTATAACGTTTGGATGTGACAGTTTCACATTACTGAGAGTAACGACGATTGAACTTATTTCCATGGCTTTTTGTTTAAAAATGATGAGAATTGGCTATACCTCAGTTATTTTTTGAAAGAAACATGTTATAGCTTATACCGCTGAAAAGCTTAAAAAATGGAGCTTTTTACGAAGTCATGGCCGACTATGGTTTTCATTTAAAAAAAACATATTTGTGTGATATGTCAAAAATGACAGGTTTTAGAAAAAAAACTGAGGACACAATCTCATTAAGGATGTGATTATCTACAACTTTTATCCGAAAACTTTTTGTCTAAAATAGATTATAATGGAATTGTGGACAATTTTTAAAATAGCCGAAATTTGTTTTTTTCGAAATATCTAGTAAGCCAAGAACTTTTTCAAAAATCTGAAAGGCGCATGTTTATGACCCCACAAAACTGCAATTCTTTCCCCATTTAACCAACTCTCTATCTCCAGTAGTTTCCGAGATACCCATAGAGAACATCCTAGGAAACTCACCCTGTATGTGCTGTACAAAGTTTCACCTAATGGGATGTTTTTTGTTGATTGATTTATTATTTATAGTTTTTCTTAATTTGTTAGCTTTTATTTCTAGCAATATTTTCATTTACTTCTGCATTCCTTTTGACAAATTTTTACTGTTTTTTTTTCAATTATAAATGTTTTTTAAAACTTAAAAGATTATTAAAATCTAAAAAATATAACTGTTTTCTATCTAATCAATACATCATTTAGCATAACAGTAAATTAGATTTTTTTTATGTTTTCCTTTGTCACACATGCAAATTTAACAGGGCAACAGAGGGCGTCATTACAGAATAGTACTCTTACGGCCGTATTCATAGTCGATCGCCAGTCGCCCGCTGGCGGGAGCTTTCCCGAAATTCTTCGTTCTTATTTCAGAGTCGAGCGCTCTCCGAGTAACGCGTGCGCACATCCGTCATATAGAGTAACCGCTCTCTCGCCGGCGGGCGGTTGGATAAGCATTTTTTTACCGTTTCATAGTCGATCTCCAGGCGAAGAACACTTGCGCAGTTTAAACCCCATCCGGTGATTTTCGGCCGGCGACTGGAGCATGTCCTTACCATCTCTGGGCGGCCCGCCAGTTTAGTCTGGTTTATTTCTCTAGTTGAAAGAAGCACCAAGCAAACTGAATTAATTATGGATATTTATAATATTGTGACGATTAACGAGAACGATGACATTTGTATTTTTGAGGCCATTATTCATTACATTTGAGGCATATGAATTCCGTCCGTCTATTTGACCATTTAAATGTTTTATCGTTTTGTTTTTGTTATGTTTATAATTTTTTATTTTTCCTATTGTTTTTACGTTTATTACATTAATTCTCTTTGTAATTTATACAAACTGGAAAAAATATACCAAATTCACAAAACATCAGTCATCTGCACAAAACAAAAATAGAGCCAATTTAAAAATATAAATTACTTCTACTCTGGTCATATTTTCCCTTAAAATAATTTTAAAATCCTTAACACAGCACCAATAAGTTAAGGTTAAGGTCTATAAAAATTTATAGACGTAATAAAAACGAATCCATAAAACTTTCAAATAACCGAACAGACCTATGGAATTCCCCATTATGTAAATTATTAACTTAATGTATGTATATAAAAAATTGTAAATCTTTTTACTATAAGTGAAGGATTACGAAGATATTATTCATTACTTTAAAACGAATTATAACAAAATAATGGACACACCAATAAAATATTTAAATTACCCAATATCAATAAAATATTTAAATTATTAATATTTAAATATTTAAAGAATGTTAAAGTTCGTATAACCGATTTTGTGTAGAAAAAGGAAGAAAACATGTTCCCTGTTGTTAAAACCCTCCACCCGAAGTGAAATTTTGTTGGCGACGCGCCGTCATTTTCGCCAGCCAGCGGTGCGCTGGCGGCCGACTATGAAAGAGCTTTTTTTCTGTCCCGATATCGAAGCGCTCGTCGGAGAAATCTTCGGCGAGCGCTTCTTTTCGGCGGGCGGCTGGCGCTCGACTATGAATACGGCCGTTAGTGTATCTAAAATAATCGCAAAACAATTTCCGATGCATGTGATCAATTTTGAGTGACAAGCGATGGCGACAGCGCTACCAGATTGTGATGGATTTATGAGATGAATCTTAATGTAAAATTGGGAGACAATTTATTTATTATATAACTTTTTAAATATTTTTACGTTTTATTTTTAATTTGATAATTAAAATTTTTGTAATTATTCTATTTATTAACAGTAGTTAAACACTCACAGTAGAAATATTTAAATTTAAGGTAGCAGCTACTCGCTACAAATCGGAATAAGTAGATATAACTTTAAAAGTGGTATAATGTGCTTACCAATCAAACTTACTTCTCTAACTGCAGTCAAAGATAATAAAGGACCTTTATTGTCACGTTCTCGTTCAAAATTGTTTATCAGAATAGCTACCAGCTCTTTGCTTCGACGGTTTAAATGCTTCGGAATATTTTCAACACACAATTTCAAGAAATGCAATACAAAAACTCGAGTATTTAGTTTTTAAAAGAACTGTTTGTGCTTAAAAGTACAATTTTTAAAAAAAAACTATGAAAATCGACAAAAACGAGAATTGCTCCCAAAGACTCAACAATACAATATTATACAAAATAATGACTGACATTATGATAATTGTCAAATGTTAAACGACAACGTTGATGTTCGCGGCGCAATGTGACCAACATGGCGACAATAAAAATCACTTTAAACTAATTTTTGCAGCTTTAATCTAAATAAAATATCTGTTACAATCATTTGCTCTATAAGGTAAAATGAAGAGCTGCTGGGTATCTTAAATTATACAACAAATTTAAACATTTTTGCCAAAATTCCATTTAGTCAGGTTTTTTTGTGTCAATTTCAATTTGATTGATGATTTGCATAGGAAAATGTTTTGCGATTACCGTAGGATATCGACTATTATTAATTATTAGCTTAATTCTATTTAGTATGTTAAGTTCTTGTAGTTTTTTTGCTATTTTTAAATTTGTTGAATAATGGGATTTATTATGCCGGGACCACACTAAACTGTGCAAACCCGGCGGCATTTACTGACTAGCCGACGGCCAACTCACCCGACTGGATTCGTGGAGTAGAATTCCCTGTGTTTATGGACGACATTGCCGTGTGCAGTGTTGCAACTATGAGCAGCTTTCTGTCGCAGTGTCCTTTGTCATAGACGAGAATGATGATCTCCTACTTTACCTTTAATTTCTGACTTAAATTTGCAAATCGTCTTAGGTTTCCATAAATTCCCCTCTTTACGGCAAAACTCAATCAACAATATGACTTTTCTTTCATTGCACTCTGGTTCTATACTGTTTTGAGTTTTTTCTTCCCCATACATTTCTCAAATGAAACCGTCTACGCTTGACTCTAAAGAAATTTCACCATACAACTGGACCAAAGAGAGGACCTGGTCGTCGCTTGTTCGATATTCGTTTGATGTTTACCGACATTTCGCCGCAAGAATTTTGAGCCGCCCGAGTCGTGCCGCCGGCTTTTGGTTGCTGCAACTTGTTAATGATTTCAGCAACCCGACTCGCCGACTTTTGCCGGCGTCACAGGCCGCCGTGTTTACACAGTTTGGTGTAGTCCCGGCGTTATATCGCATTAAGTTGTGTGACTGCGACATTAACATTATTGTAATATTTTTGGTTACTAGAATTTAAATCTTAACATGCAAATAAGGTATTCTTTACTTAGAGGTACACTAATATCTAAAATGTATTTTTACTCTGTTGGCAATATGAGGTAAGTTGCATAAGTGATGTCAAAGAAGCCATCGCTGTGAATTTGAAATGTTAATGGTTTTTATTATTTTTTTAAAACATTGAGTTGAAAATGTAATGAGTAAAATCAATAATACAGATATAAAATTGTATGAAGATTGATATTTCATACTGATAAAAATGTGCTAATATGCTGAATTGTTAACTAACATCTACATTATTTCTAAACAGGAAAAACAACACAAGTTTGTCAGTTTATCTTGGAAGATTATATCATGTCTGGTCAAGGAGCGTGGTGCAGCATTGTTGTGACGCAGCCGAGACGTATATCTGCCGTTTCTGTATCTGAAAGAGTAGCCAATGAACGTTGTGAAGATTTAGGCCAATCTGTTGGGTAAATATGACCATATTTATAGACATATATATAAACTAAGGTTTCTTTCTTCTTTCTAGATATTCTGTAAGATTTGAATCAGCGCTGCCGCGACCTTATGGTTCTGTATTGTTCTGTACTGTAGGAGTTTTACTAAAGAAGTTAGAGAATGGTTTAAGAGGTGTCAGTCACGTCATTGTGGACGAAATTCACGAAAGAGATGTAAACAGCGACTTCATAATGGTCGTATTGCGTGACATGGTTCACACCTATCCCGATTTAAGAGTCATTTTGATGAGCGCAACTATCGACACTTCATTATTTTCAAGATATTTTAACAACTGTCCAGTTTTTGAAATCGAAGGAAGAGCTTTTCCAGTTAAACAGTATTTCTTGGAAGATTGCGTCGAACTGACAAATTTCATTCCTCCAATGGATCAAAAAAAGAAAAATAGAAACAAAAAGGACGAAGAAGATGAGGACACAATTTCAAATGAGGACAGCGATGAAAACTTGAATAAAGTTATCAGCGGTCAATATTCAATACAGACTAAAAACGCTATGGCTAGACTAAACGAAAAGGACATTAGTTTTGAATTATTGGAAGCTTTATTAGGCTATATTAAACAACAAGAAATTGGAGGTAATAATAAGAATAAATACTAATTATATTATATATTCTATTACATTTTACTACCTCTTAATGTTGGCTCGCACAATTATATGTTATCAGAGTAATTAAAAAATGTGTGTTTTGGGTAGGAAAATGTAGTTTTTTTGTTTGAACATTAAACATTCCAGCCAGTTTATTTTTCTTAAATATTCTAGGTGCTGTTCTAGTATTTTTGCCTGGTTGGAATTTAATTTTTGCCTTGATGAAACATTTACAAAAGCATCCTGTTTTTGGAGGCGCCGGTTACTGTATTTTACCTCTTCATTCTCAGATTCCTAGAGAGGATCAAAGAAAGGTGTTCTTACCAGTTCCAGATCATGTCACCAAAGTAATCCTTGTTTTAAACAAATTAAAATAGTAAGTTAATGTCTTAATGCATATTACAGGTTATTTTGGCTACAAATATTGCTGAAACATCTATAACGATTGACGACGTAGTGTTTGTTATTGACAGTTGCAAAGCTAAAATTAAAATGTATACATCTCATAACAATATGACAAGTTACACGACTGTATGGGCTTCGAGGACGAATTTGGAGCAACGTAAAGGTCGTGCCGGTAGAGTACGGCCAGGTATATGCTTCCATTTATGCTCGAAGGCAAGGTAAAGTTTATTTTTTTCCATCATTTTGGTTCATACTTGCACAAATTGATATTTTAGGTTTGAAAAGCTTGATGAACATATGACTCCGGAAATGTTTAGGACTCCCCTACACGAACTTGCGTTAAGCATTAAGCTGCTGAGATTGGGTGCTATTGGCCACTTTTTATCTAAAGCTCTTGAACCACCACCATTGGATGCTGTAATAGAAGCCGAGGTATGTATAAAGTCTCTACTGGGTGACAACAAAGACATAGCACAAACCGCATTTTGATTTGTTTTTATTGAATAAATATGATGGTTTATCAAAGCTACAAAATTACCTGTTCAGAACGTGATTTTTGTGGCATACTGTAATCTTAGGTTTTTTGTTGACAAATTTGGGGCATTTATTACTATTAGCCTTATTCTTAAAGTTGTTCAACCGACTAGACGAAATGTGCTGCCAACTGGAGGACAAATCGTGAACCTTTCGGGGCGGAGTCAAAAATATCGATTATTTTCGTTATTTTCCTCAGAGTAATGTAATAATATAGCCCGGGTTTCTGCGAACTTTAATAATGATCAGCTGATTAAGAAATTTAAACGAAACTTTTATTTTATTGTAAATTGTGTATTATTTTTGCCTGTTATTTTAAGAATTCTAAACCGTATTAACAAAGAAATTATTATTTCGATATGTTGGTACATTATTTATAATTTATGATAATGCTAATTGCTGTTAATTAATATTTAAAAAAAAAGTTACATACCTATTTTAATTTGATTTAATGCAGGTTTATAAAAGAATCATTTCATTCTTAGATTATTTTATTCTAAATTGAGTGCTTTACGAATTCTACGATATATTTTTTTTGAAAACATAAAACTTTTTACATTTTTGATGCCAACTAATTGGTATGGTATTATTGGTATGGGAATTAGCCAAGAAAGTAAAGTATTGGCTATAACTTGTAATTTTTCAAAAAAAAAACATATTATACCTATATCGCTGAAAAGCTTAAAGAATGGCGCTTTTTATGAAGTCATGGTCAACTAGGATTTCCATTTAAAAAACATAATGTTTGTGTCATATGTCAAAAATGACAGGCTTTAGAAAAAAAGCAGAAAACACAAACTCGTTAGGTATGTGATTATCTACAACTTTTATCTGAAAACTTTTTGTCTAAAATACCATATGATCGAATAAAAACGGCGTCAGCGATGACTATGAAATGACGATCGATGATATTTCCCATATAATTTTACATATAAAATGAGAACGATCTTCATTTCATAGCCATCGTTGACGCCGTTTTTATTCGATCATACGGTAGATTATAATGGAATTAGAGACAAGTTTTAAAATAGCCAAAATTTGTGTTTTTCGAAATATCTAGTAAGCCTTGAACTTCTCCGAAAAATCCGAAAGGCGCATATTTATGACTCCACAAAACTGCAATTCTTTCCCCATTTAACCGACTCTCTATCTCCAGTAGTTTCCGAGATACCCATAGAGAACATCGTAGGAAACTCATCCTGTATAGTATTTAGAAACTAACTATTATTTTTATTTGACTAGATTAATTTGATTAATAAGACTCGATTAATTTAATTTAAAATAAATTTGATCAGATTTTTTGTTCGTATATTCTACTACCAGAAAACCAAAATTATATGATAACGCACTTTTCAACGAAGTTGAAGGAATATATAGAGTATCTATCACAATACTTAATAGAATTACTACAATTAGAAGAAAAACAAAAAGAAAAAATACCCAAATACCTTCACCTACTACTCATCTACAAAATAAACGAATATAATCTCTTATAAAAACACTACACAACTACTTCTTGTATTTTACACTGAAAAAATTATAAACTTACTAATTAATCAAACAAAAAGAAAAAAATAACCAAATTATCCCTTCACCTACTACTTAACTACAAAATAAATAAACTATAAAAACACTACTAAACTATTTCTGATATTCTACACTCTACACTAAACAGTATAATTAAACTTAATAAAATTAATCTAATTTTACACTACAACCACTACAACTATAAAGAAATAAGAACATTTTTTAAAACTATAAGAAACAGAACTTCGATACGTGCGACCAGTATAATAGATCAAGCGGACAAGGAATATAAAATACTTTAAAAATGTGCATTCAGAAAGAAAAAATATCTCGAAAATTATCTAAACAAACATTTTTTTTTTCTTATCAGTGAAAAGCATCGGCCTCGTCGGCCTTGCGGAATTTGTCGGGTATTTACAATGGTCGAATTGTATAATTACCAGCTTTTATAGCATATCTAATAGACAAAAAGTATCTGTTCGATTAGTAACCAATTGGCATGGTCCGAAAATTATCGATTTTTATTTTCTCTGTTTTTATTGGTCGCTTCAAAATTCAGAGTAACAAAAAATATTTTTCTGTAGTAAAAGACTGTGAAATACGGCCCGCCATCTGGTGCTTTACATCCATAAACGTCTTAGGTTGAGCTACTTTAAAAATTCATATACAAGGATAATAGTCAAAAATTAATAATGATTGATAAGTAAAACTCACGAAAACCGGAATTTTAACGTAAAAAACGTGTTTTACCTGTAAAAAAATTAAGAAACACAAAAAAGATAATTTTTGATATTAAAATTTTTAAATCTTTAAAAAAAGTTGTTTACTGTTAATGGCTGTTGTAAAACTGTTATTTTCGAATACTTGGCGTATAGAATGATATAAGTTTTTATTTTGTGTAGAAATCAAAATTTATACCGAAATATTCGAAAATATAGCTTGAGAAGGAAACATGGCGTATCTTCCTCTTTATCTTTTTACATTTTTTATATAATATCTTTTTTATGTCTTTTTCTCGGTATATATAAACATTTCTATCCAGAAAATTTGACATTTTTTCAATATACAAGTCTGTTTAATTTCAAAATACACGTCTTTTTTGTGATATTTGGATCACTTCAGAAGAGCCGACGCCTACTGTCGCTTCAGTAAAGCAAGTTATTCTGCGATCAAAACTCATTACCTGTTAAAAAAATTGAATATTACTTTTAGTTTTACCAGAAGTAAATGAAGAAATTTAAATCACACATCGCAGTTTTTCTTGGACATGAATAATAAATAATATTTTTTCATAGGTTTTGTTAAAAGAAATGAAGTGTTTGGACAAAAATGATGAACTAACTCCATTGGGACGCATCATAGCTAAGCTTCCAATCGAACCTAGGTTGGGAAAAATGATGATACTAGGATGTATATTTATGTGTGGCGGTCCGTTGGCTACTATGGCGGCCAATTCGTCAACATTTCCAGAAATCTTCACTCTTGAAATTGGACAAAGAAGATTGAGCGGTCGACAGAGATCTCTAGCTGGAGATAGGCACTCAGATCATGTTGCAATGCTTACAGCATTTGAAGTAAGTACTTATCTGCGCATTTTATATGAGCATATTGATTTATATATTATAATGCCCTTGCTTCCATAAAATGTTATGATTAAAGTAAATTTTTAAGATAGTTTCTTAAAATAATTCCTTCTCTGTATGCCTTCTGCTCAGTAACAGAATATTTTTTAATACTATGATGTGATCAGGTGAATTTATCTCCCATCTTCTAATATTATTGTGAATTTTGAGCCTTTTGGTTGGCGATACTTTTCAGTGTTGTCTATTTTATTTGTATATTTGTTAAAATATTAAGATTTCTCCAAAAAAAACCTATATGGGTATTTCGCCACTGCAAGAAAATTACAAAATAAAATAGTTCTTCTTGTTTTATGATGACTCTGCTAAAAGGCCATCGCCAGAATAAAATAGTTATTTTTTGTAAACACTGCTGTGTTAATCCAATGGAAACTACTTGCCAGCAGTTAGGTTTACTGATAAACAAATTTGACTAACGAACAAAAAAATGCTTAACGTTTCGGAAAGTATCTCTTTCCGTCGTCGAAAGCAAAAAAAATACAAAGAATAAAGAAAAAAACTATTTAAAATAAAAAAAAAGATTATTAATTAATAATTTTCGGATAAACTTTCCGAAACGTCAAGCATTTTTTTGTTCATTAGGCAAATTTGTTTATCAGTAAACATAACTGCTGACAAGTAGTTTCCGTTGGATTAACGCAGCAGTGTATACAAAAAATAACTATTTTATTTTGTAGATTTTCTTGCAGTGGCGAAATACCCATATTTTTTTGGAGAGATGAATCCGCCACATAGGTATAGACATTTTGTATTATTAAGATTGTATGGCCTTATAAATTAAGGTATTATGTGGTATTAGTATAAAAGTATTTTTGTTAATAAATATTTTGTGTTAAGGACTACTACTGATTTTAATTTATGTAAATTTCTGATATAGCTATGGGACCAGGCTCGGCAGGGTGGCGAAGAAAGAGAAATCAATTTTTGCGATCAGAAGGGTATTAGTTTGCCCACGATGCGCGTGACTTGGGAAGCGAAGTATCAGTTGCAACAAATTCTTAATAATTGCGGTTTTCCCGAAGAAGCTATGGCTCCCTTGCCCATGGAAACTGTAGGTCCAGATCCGAGACTAGATGCTGTTATGGCATTGATGTGTTATGGGCTGTATCCAAATGTGTGTTATCATAAGGAAAAGAGAAAGGTATGGTTAATTTGTTCATATTTAAACAGATTGTTTCTATTTTTTTTTTCTTAGGTTTTGACAACCGAAAGTAAAGCGGCATTAATTCATAAAACATCGGTGAACTGTAGCAACTATGACCTGAACTTTCCTTATCCGTTCTTTGTGTTTGGCGAAAAAATTCGTACCAGGGCAATTTCCTGCAAACAAATGTCAATGATTACACCACTTGATCTGCTACTATTTGGTTCTAGAAAGGTATGTTTTATGATTTTCTAAGCTATAGGGTAACATAAAAATATTACTATATCTCATTGCTGTGTATACTAAGGGCTGGCAAAAGTTAGTTTTGGGTCGAGATTTCCATATGTAAGAAGAGTACAATTCGTTTATAATCTACTGAACAAAGAGAGAACAGTAAAAACGTTGCCAAACGTATGAAATAAACCGAGAATCTGTGCAAATTGCTAAGAGACGTGGAGGAGATAAGCAGATTCGTCGCGGTCGACCCAATCAGTACTTAGAATTCTAGATAAAGCTCATGCATTCAGTTTGGTTTGTTCTATCACGCGTTCAGCTTTACGATTTAATTACGTCATGTGGTACTTTATTTGTTTATTTATCAACGAGTCTTTGTAATTTTCCTTATAGCCTGTAAATTTTTAAGTGCAAGTTATAAACACTTGCACTTTTGGTAAAAATAAGTGGAATTGAGTTGTTGTTCAACATTGGTTCTTAATATTTCTGCGATATTTTCTTCGCAGGCAGTATATGAAAATCTTTACAAATAAAAAAAGTTACACAATTGTTGGAAATTGCTACGCACTAAAAGTAAATGGACAGTTTTTTTTTAAAATTTTTGGAAAAAAATAAGCCTATCGAATTTTTCTGATTTAAACATCTTGTAAAGGATCCGAACTTCAAAATTAAAAAAAATGTTTTAATATCTAAAGTGGTTCTTGAGTTATCGCGTGTTGTGTTAAAAAGTTGAGTTTTTAACTTATCGCGATTACTGACGTTTTCTCGTTATAAAAAAATAGGGACACCCTAACGATATCCTTATCCTATATTCCATTTCAGATGCTCAGAAACATATCCATATTATCTTTCGAAAAAAAAGTTTTTTAAAAATAAGCGATTTGCGATCGTGATTTTACTTGATATGGAAAGGGTACCGGAGAAATATGGCAACGCCGTAATAGCAAACCGTCGCATTTCTCTCACTCCGACTTAAGCTTGATTTTCATGCATCCATTGTCCGACGATACGTTGATACGATATTAATTTTATTGGTAGAATTTAAAGACTTTGATTGGTTAGAAAATAACGCAGTTTTTAAATTTATTGCATTTCCATGCCTCCGTTTTTCGGATATACGTTAGTGTCATTTTATATTTTCGTTTCCATAACGATTTTGCTATTTTTCTTATATTTTTATTAAGGTTAGCTTAAATTTGTCAAAAAAGTGTCAAAACGTCCGTTATCGTATGAACGGGTCCGTTGACGGGCTGAAGTAAAATATTTACGGATGAAAAGTGGCGCAAAGACGCTATGACCAATCAGAGCACCGTCGGACCATCGTATAACGGATGCATGAAAATCAAGCTTTAAGAGTCCATTACGCTGTACTGTTCGGGCACAGATCAAGTATCCTATAAGTATACAGATAAAAATCTTGTCCCTAATTCGTGGTACGAAAATTGTAAAATAACAATAAACAGCGTAATAGAGAGATATCGCTAAACCGAATAGCGTGCATGGACGTTAAATAAGGCCAGGTGTTATTTCCTTTACGTGAGGTGGTATTAACTCTCTTCATGTATAGTTATCGGATCGGAAAGAATTCTGATCGCGTCGCGTCCGCTATTTAAACTTAACCTAACTTTGAATTTAAAACTTTGAAATTGTTTTGTTTACTAGGTATTTTAAAACTAAAGGGCTAAAGTGCTCATTTCCAGTGCTTTATTGTTCAACGTCTGCCAGTGGGTTTAGGGCAACAAGCAACAAATTCTCTTAGAAGGGCTAAGTAGTCATCTGCTGTAAACCTAAGACTCTTTATAGGTTCTTTAGTATTGGAAGAAAATCCATATTTTGGGCCATATTTATTTAATTAAAACTAATCCCAGCTACTTAAATATCAAATTACCTAATAAAACTAAAGCAATAATTCAAAAAAAATTCAAACAACCTAAAATAAAAGATCTCGCCGGCCGGCTCCGGTTGTCAAATACCCGCACATGCCCATTTAAGCAATTTTTAAACGTTATCAGAGGTTATGTAGAAAGAGCGCTTGGTGTAATTGATCCGCAAATTACGTCAGGCGGTAACGTTATTAGCGGGTGTTGCGTTAAAAATTGACTCGTGCAACCATGATAAGGTACGCGTAAATACTGGATGACGCTATTCGGTTTTCCGATGACTCTCTAATAACTGTGCCGGTCAGGCGCTGTGCATAATTTTAGAGGCCATAAGTGGGCGTGCTATGTGCGCAAACTAGTCATCTAACTAGTGCCCGATTCCGAAAATTGGAACCACGAAAAACAATAAAGAAAAAACAAAGATTATAATCTGTGTTTCGGGTCGCTTTTAGGGGTCGGGTAAAGCGGGTGTGTGGACGAAGGAAATATATTTTATATTTCAGAAATCTGTCTAAGGTTTAGCCCGATCCTATCGTGTTAAGTCACACCCAAAATTATAAACACACGTGCTTTGATTAAGGTTGGCAGAGCTTCGGCATTTGCCATAAAATAGCGAGCAATTTGTTACAAAACCATATAAATGATATATCACAAAACTTCAATCTATTTCCGTATTGTAACGGAATTTTAAATTGTGTCTTTATTTTCGAGAAAATTTAGTGCAAACATTGTTGATGGTTGACGATCAAAATCTTAAAAATAAAGAAGTTGTCTAAAAATGTGCTACAATACGGATATAGTATAATCCTTTATCTTTAATTTCCTTCTTCGTTTGTGTAAAAATACCTGGCCAGTTTTACATAAAACGTTAAATGCCGAATGCTTATTTTGCTACTTTTTTGGACTAGTGAAATGGACTCTTAACAAGATCTCTACGCGATTTACTTCCACACATGTAAATACTGACCCAAAAGTAAGAATTGCCAGCACGGTATATGCTTTAGACATGACAACCCACGATATTTTTTGTAAGTAAAAATATATCAAAAGCTGATAGTTACCTTATTAACAAATTTCCCAACATAAACCTCAATTTTCAGAAAAATAATTTTTATTGAATAGATTTGCCTACTGAATGTTTTTTTATTGCCGATTTTTAATAGACAATCTTGGGGTAAGTCTGACACATATCATAGATTGTCATTTCAAGATAAATTCCAAATTTAAGACAATCAGTTTTAAGCTAATATTAATGAACATCAAACATTACTTTATTTTTAATCTTCATCTCTTCAGTTTTTAATATGATTAGATTTTATTCTCTCTGGATACTACATTAATACAGCCAATTTTTACAATTTATGACAATCTGTGTACATGTCAAATTCATGTAAGCCATACGCTAAATAAATAAAGAACATCCAAAAAGTTCTCAAATGGGAATTATTTATTGAATCATTGAAAAAACTGCTGTTTAAATTTTACCATACATAAAAAATAATTTAAATTATGTTTTATTCAATAACAAAAGCAAAAGTATGACGTTTGTTCTGTGGGACAATTATTGTCATGAAGGCAAATTACAAAAATCTTCTCTGTATGCAAAAAGGAGGATCAAGTGAAAGAGACAAGTTGTTCAGAAGTTAATTTTATGTGTGCATAGTTTTATAAATATACAGGGAACAACTAAACAACTTTTCTCTTTAATCTTGAACTGAATTTCTGATCAGTTTTTTTATGCAATGGGTATTATTTTTCTTAAATAATAGAATATAATTCTTAACAGGTTGATTGGATCGATGGTGTAGTTCGACTAGACAACTGGATCAACCTAAAAATGGACCCTCAAGTTGCGTCACAAGTTGTTGCTTTGAGACCTGCACTGGAAAGTTTGGTAATTCGGGCGTCTCAAGATCCAGAACAAATTATGGAAATGGGCGATACTGATAGAAAGGTCAGTTACTTTTAATAACATTTTTATACATTTTAAGTTGAAATTTTCAGTGCCTACAACAGAAAATTATACACTCACCGTGCTACACCGTAACACGGTGTTTAATAAGTAATCTTTCTTTTTGAATAGTGAAACATATGCCCAGAACGACGAGAAACTGTCGTTAAGAGTGTAGTGTAGTAATAGTGTGTAAGTTACACACTATTACTACACCACACTTAAGTGGTTTTTACATATTTTGCGTTAAAAAATCGATAAAAAATACTCTTTTCTTTTTGAAACTCTTTTTTTTGTTGTGAAACAGGAAATTATCTGACAGATTTCATAATTTCTAATAGTATTAAAAGTTATAAGTTTATAATGTAAGTTTTAGTAAATCGGTCATTAAATAAATTAATATTAATCTTCATTTTTAACCGCACTATTATTAATATAACATTAAAAAGATAATTAAATAGTCTTTCTGATACAATGTAACAGAAATAACATTGAAGAAGAAATGTTATACCTAATTGAGCGCATACCTTAGCCACACGACCACCGCCGCACAGAGGTTATTATTGCAGAATTAGGTGGTAATAAATACATGTTCAAAAAATACATGTTTTAGAAAGTTAAAACTTATATTTTTTGAGTGATAGACAGAAAGTGATGTAGATTATATAAGTGAAATAAATTAATCATACTTTTATACAGGGTGTTTGTTTAAATAAGTCACTAATATAGTGGATGTTCCTAAATGATATGCTAGTATTTAGGAAGTGCTTCTTAGACCCATTTTAAAGGAAGAAAAAACTTCATATGAATATATGTCTTAAAACACCATAACTTTTAAGTTACAGGGTGGGAAAGTTTTCAAAAAAGAATTAAAATTGTTTAACACATTCTAATATTTTAGGCCGTCCTCGCATTTTACCACATAGATTCTGTTCAAGACGTGTATTTTTCTCTTGGACTGTCTTTGTACCAAATAGAATTCATTTTTATTTATTGACATTGTATCTAAAAAAATCATTTTTGAAGTTTTTGGCAGCCAATTTTGGAAATACTTTTTAGTCTTTCGAAAATAAATTAAAAAGAAAGCCTGTTTTCTATTATACACGGGACGTAAATACGTCTACCGTATGATCGAAAAGATAATGGTGTCAGCGATGGCTATGGAATGAAGATCGCTGATTTTTTTAAAAAATCAAAAAAAAACAGATTTATTTGATTTAAATCAGATTTTTTTTTATTTAAATCAGATTTTTTGATTTTAATTCAAAACAATATTTAAATCGGATTTTCAAATGACTAGGACTTATTTCCAATTAAAGTCCTATCCTAAATGGCTAAATCTTTATAACTCTGCCTGATACCGATAACATTAATAATTCTACATCGCGTATGACACGCGATTTTCCACATCGGTCACCAATATGTTCCGCAAAAGTCGCTCGCTTCAGATCAAAAGGATTTTTTTTTCAAACATCTCTAATATATTATCTTTTGTCATTTTAACGCCTAGGCACAAAAGTAAAGCACTGTTACATCTAAGCACAAAAGTACAAAAATATATTATTAAACTGATATTAAGTGTCAAATTCAACGAGTGTATTGCTCGATTACTGTTCATATTATTTGCAATGTTTGAAATTGATTAAACATTTATTTGTAATGTTTTAAAAGAAATAGTATGTTCTATTCGGAGTAAAAATGTACTTTTTGTGCTCCCTGTAACGTTGGAATAGCTTTACGATGGTCCTTCAAAGGTACAGCATCGTCAAAAAAAGTATAATTTTTACTCTTAATAAAACGCTACACTAGCTATTGTTCGGAAATAGTCTTAGTCGAGAATGAAATTAGTATGTATTATCTAATATCAGAGTGTAAAGTGCTTACTGCAGATCAAAATGTCGTCAGTAGGAATTTGGAAACGTACAACCGTTTCAAAAAAAAACATTTCGTTTTCTGACAACGATTATAGATTTGCGGGAATGAAGATATAGTCTTTATATCAGAAGAACCTAGTTCTGGCACTAGACTTTGCGAATGATATGTATTCGAACAGCGAGTTTTTGTTACTTATACATAAATTTTAAAATAAATCCCTGCGTTTAGCGGTCTAATGGATTCACACGAAATTACTTGAAAAATCGGTCCAACATTTAAATTGATGAATAGATATTTTTATTATTTTTATATAGTTCTATAACATTTACAATTATTTTTCGATTTACTATCTGTTATCGAAGTATTTTTTCTAGTCTTCTAGGACACAGTTTTATAACTTTTAAGTTATTTTTTGATTTTATTATAGTTTCAATAAAAAAAATTTGATTTAAATCACATGATTAATATTAAAAAAATCACTTGATTTAAATAATTTGATTTAAATCATGCCATCCCTGATTAACAATGAAATACAACATCAATAGTATGTTTTTTGATACCTTATTTTTTCGATTTATTAATTTCTAAAAAAGACCTCTATGCGCCGCTTTTAAAGATTTCGTTGCAGTTGTTAATATTTTATTATTTTTCTTGCTTTTCTTTATTAATTTCTTCATATTTTCACACCACTTAAACCTTCCCTTGTCTTCTACAAATATTACACAACTAAAATTAGAGTTTTAGCCAGATTAACAAACGTCATTTCGTTTTTATAGCAATACGTAACTGAAGGAATTACAAATTAGGCTGCTAGATAGAGAGAGGCCAGTGCGAACTATCGGATTAGCTCTGTTTTAAACCGTTGGCCTCTATCGATGGATCATTGTTTAAACGTCCAAACTATTATCTGCTTATTTAGTATAAAGGTAGTATTATACAGGGCGAGTGTAGGGATGAGGAGAAATATTTCTTATGGGACTTTATTTGAAAAAATGGTCACAAAAATGGGAAGAATAAGGATTCACCAAATAACCACAGTGGCGCTAATAACGCATAAATCTAAAAAATGAAAAGTAACAATAGATATGCGAATAAAAGTAACATAACCAAACATTACCCAAATAAAGCTTTGTTCTTATTTCTTAGAATATAAAATAATTATTCAAATATTCACAAAAAATTTATTTTATGTGACATGAAAATAAAATTTGTATTTTTTTGAAACCCGCGCATTCACGTCAAATATTTATCTCTTTTGAGTCATTTCCTGTTCCAAACATTTTCAGCGCATATTTTAAATTTTAGATTTTTGCTACAGCAGCGCCATCTTAAGTCTTCCATTTTTATGACCATTTTTAATGTCTCTTACCTCTACCACAGATTATACAGATTATAAACTTTGTTTTTTCTTTGTTGTTTTTCGTGGTTCCAATTTTCGGAATCGGGTACTAGGTAGGTTACTAGTTTGCGCACATAGCACGCCCACTTTTGGCCTGTAAAACTGTGCACAGTGCCTGACCGGCACAGTTATTAGAGAGATATCGGAAAACCGAATACCGTAATGCAGTATTTACGCGTACCTTATCATGGTTACGATATGCGCGAGTCAATTTTTAACGCAACACCCGCTAATAACGTTACCGCCTAACGTAATTTGCGGATCAATTACACCAAGCGCTATTTCTAAATAACGTTTAAAAGTTGCTTAAATGGGCATGTGCGGGTATTTGACAACCGGGGCCGGCCGGCGAGATCTTTTATTTTAGGTTATGTTTGAATTGTTTTGAATTATCACTTTAGTTTTATTAGGTAATTTGATATTTAAGTAGCTGGGATTAGTTTTAATTAAATAAATATGGCTCAAAATATGGATTCCACCGCTTCCAATATTAAAGAGGCTTAAGTTAACAGCAGATAACGAGCCCTTCTAAGAGAATTTGTTGCTTGTTGCCCTAAACCGACTGGCAGACGTTGAACAATAAAGCACTGGAAATAAGCACTTTAGCCCTTTAGTTTTAAAATACCTAGTAAACAAAACAATTTCAAAGTTTTAAATTCAAAGATAGGTTAAGTTTAAATAGCGGACGCGACGCGATCAGAATCCTTTCCGACCCGATAACTACAAATGAAGAGAGAAGAGAGTTAATACCACCTCACGTAAAGGAAATAACACCTGGCCTTATTAACGTCCATGCACGCTATTCGGTTTAACGATATCTCTCCATTACGTTGTTTATTGTTATTTTACGCGAGTTTATTTTTGCGCACAGGAAATTTTACTCGTTTGTACATCGTCATAAAAAACAATTTTCGTGCCACGAATAAGGGACAAGATTTTTATCTGTATACTTATATGATACCTAATCTGTGCCTCTACACTCCATAGTCTCGAATAAGCAACAAGTCCAAAATTGCTGAGCTATTTTACTTTTTGTTTAAATTTTGAGAACCGCTGGATCTTTTTCTGTATTTTTTCTGTCAAATATTGAAGTTTATAGTAAACTGAGTTTACGAATCAAAGTTGTTAAATTTATTTATATACAGTTTGCTATAAAAATCAAGAAAATAGGGCTAAAAATAAAAAAATATACCATTTTAAACTAGACCAAAATTTTTTCCGTTGCGTTTTTTTTTCATCTGAGTGTATATCTATCTAATGATACTATTAATTAAAATATATGTACTGCTATTTATTATAAAGAAATTGGGCAACTCTTATCCAACGAAGACTGTGTTTTATATTTTATGGCGTGTCCAGACCAAGGAGACAGAAAGTGAACACATTTTAGACAAAAACAAAACAAATCTGCGACAAAAATGAGAAATTCAGACAAGACAAATTTGGGACGAAGTGTCTATACCGCGAGGAGAAAAGTACAACAAAGTTCAGTATATACGAATCAGTTCTATTAATTATTTGGCCTTTCCACCAGGAAGAAGATAAAGATATATTATTAGCAGTCAGTAGTGTTGTCTTTGACTCGCTATCCCATGTTGCAAAAAGAAACCCCAATGGTTTTATTTCTCTCGTACACTATATAGCTATAAAATATGGTATATTTCTGAATTTCGTCTTAACATCATCAACCAAGTTTATATTTAAGGCTAAACAAATATTCTTTAATGCA